TGTGTGTGTGTGTGTGTGTGTGTGTGTGTGTGTGTGTGTGTGTGTGTGTGTGTTGAGCAGACAGTCAGGCAGGAAGGAGTTGAATTAAAGCCAAAGGTGGTACTGCAGTGGCTCCTGATGCATAGGTAATATATGTGTATTTGAGTCATCTTAAATTTTACAATGAAATCAAGCACACTCATGGTTGTGGCTTAAGACTAATGGAAGGCTTTGTTTCTCTGAGTTTATAGTATAACACTGAAAAGAGAACGAAAGAGATCGGGACACATTTGGTTAAAGAGAACACTCGCCGTATTTATGCACACATACATATTATGTCTGTAAAGGTAAGAATTAACCTAATAATCAAAAATATAATTCCTTCTAGCTGATGCACTGATACTTAGATTAACTTGAGCGGACACAGGTGTGCGCCTAGCAGGTATTACAGGTGTCCTGAAAGATGTCCACTTTGGCGCTGTCCGTTCAGCACTTGCGCGCTTAAATAACTCCCAGCGAGATCATGCTGATGTTTCTTCAAGTGCTTGTCTGGCCCCCTCACCGGCGACACCTCAGGGTGCTTAGAATACTTAGGCCAGCACAAACGAGACAAGATCGTGTCAGCAGCGCGGCAGACGCGCAGCTTTCAGGTGGCAGGTCTGCTGAGTCGAGAGGGCGAACGAGGGAAGCAGGAGTCAACGAAGTCAGTAAACAGGAACGCAATTATGTAACGGCCAAATATCTACATGTTCCACAAATCTCCATGGGGTCAAATTTAGGACACTGGTTCCGTTAGGACATTGTAGTATATTGATAACTGTGCCTCGTGTAAGTCTCATGAACTACATATGTCAGAGTAAAACAGCCTTCTAATAAAAAGTGGACAGAATAATGACAGTTTGGTATTTTATTTTATCCTGGTACAGCATGGGGGTGACGTTGGCTTCACAGAGAGGTGAAAGGACTGGTGAAAACTTTCATCAAGTGGATTAGAAATAACACCGACCTGCCTAACCTGTGTGTGTGTGTGTGTGTGTGTGTGTGTGTGTGTGTGTGTGTGTGTGTGTGTGGGTGCGTGTGTGTGTGGTTGTGCGTGTGTGTGTGTGTGTGTAAAAGAGAGAGGTGAAGAAAAGAGCTCTTAGACTCCACAAATCTGAAAAAGACTTTCAAGGTCAGTCACACTGTGGGCTACAGTGAAGTCCAACAAGCCACGTCCTCAGGTCTCATCTAACAGGTTGTCATCAGTGAATTAAAGCCGTGGCTGTTTTCAGCCAAAGGGCCACTTCACTGGGGCAGCATCTGAAATTTCCAGGAGCTCCTGATAAAGAAACCGACTAAGGGCACAACAGACAAAATCAAACTCAAATGACTCAAGTGACTAAGCCTGAAAAATGAAAATGAGAAAATGTAATTGTGTGTTTATTTGTTTGAGTTGTTACCAAGGCAGCCACTATTTCTGTGTGTGGATTAAAACCACAGGAGAAGATTTTATCTGTATAAACAGATAACAGACTAGTCAAAAGGTTTCACATTGGATAATTTACAACAGGGAAAAGTCTGCCTGCAGGGATGTGCAGACATGACTATCTTTTCTTTTTTTGCATGGAAACATGAAGAAACGCAATCCTACAAATACAAAAGCATATCTAACACACTGCATGATCATAGAATGCACAGGAGAAAGAGGAGAATAATGATCAAGCACGATGCTTTTAAAAGATAGCAGAGTGTATATTTTTTTCAGTGTACTGAAGCAAAATTAAACACAAGTAGCACTATTCTCTGCTGAGTTCCACTGTGGCAGTTTCCGTGGCTCTTTTGGCATCTAATGCAGTAACTTGACAAGGCAGAAGAAATTTCCCCTCACATGAATGTGATTAAAGCGTCAAGGTTTGCAGAGATGCCAAGAGCCTGCTAAAATTCCCTGTCTCTGTAACTCTATGACAGTGTGTTCCAAGTCTCGTGTTTCCTCCAGTATCTTACTCGATTTAGACGGTGAATAATGCTGATGGAAGAGAGACAAATGACTAACAGTGTTCCTTGGAGTTTCAACCTTGTAACAAATTTGTGTTTTGGCCGGCCACACATTCATAAGCTGACACCGACCGCTTTGAGAATTAAACATAATGTGAGAGAACAAGGACAACGCTCTGAGGCTGGCGCAGAGTGTGTTTGTCTTTAAGTGTTCCCTGTGGTGTGGGGCATCAGCAGACTGACTGGGAGGCAACGGAGCCGTCAGCATGCAGTGTCTGGCTTTCAGTGTGTCACTGATGTTGTCATAGCTGCAAACCATAAAAACAAAACATTCAGTCGGTTGTTTGCTTTACTGTCACTGTCAAAGAAAATTCCCCGTGATCACGATCCCAATGAAAGACATTGTGTTACTTCCACACATTCTGAATTTCCTGCACAAACCCATATTTGGCACTAAGTCAATAAGTTCACAAACTAACATCATTCTGAATTAATGTGGCTTTTAAAGTAATGACTGCATCACTGGAGCAGAGCAGGAGACTCACTCAGTCATGATAGTAAACGTGGATGTAAGGTAAGCCAGCACCATACAACAATGGCCTTTATTCTGCTAGTGGGTTAAGTGCATGCTCATTCGGGCATGATTGAAGCATGGCAGGTAGGACAGAGTTTGGCAAATTCACGCCCAGTGGTCTTCATGGATTTGGCACAAGAGGCCTTACGGCGACTTAGACCTTTGAAGAAGTAGGTAAGTGGGCCACAGTTCCACAGATAAGTCGACAGGGCTCAATTCAAATGGTACACAAAAACACATAAACTCTCACAATCCACCACAGGTAGGTTTCTGGTTTGATTTTGATTTAAAAAAGATCAAATATTCACTGTCAAGTTGTCTTGGTTATGTAGCAGCCATGCTTTGATCTCAGTTATGCGTTTAGTACTGAGTCCTGCACGTCTGTTAAATCATGGGATTTTTATTTCCTGTCACAAAATGTCATTCCTATGGCATGATTAGAACAGCAGCCTAAAATCAGAAGCAGCAGTAAACCATCAGCATTATACATCAACTTATATAAATGCCTACTGGCCTGATGTAGCCAAATAAAAAGGAATGGCAGCCCAGGGTACTGCAGAAGCTCACATCTCGGCTGTTTTTCTTGTTTTCACTTTGCTTGTGAATTTACCCAAAAATTGCTGAACTGTGCAAATCTAAATCTATAGTTTCAAAAAATGAAAGCAAAAGCTTGAGGTGGCAATCTCACAGAAGTATGAACTATAATGGATTGCATTTTTATATAGCGCTTTTCTTGACCCCTCAAAGCGCTTAACAATACCACTATTCATTCACTCTCACATTCATACACTGGTGAAGGCAAGCTACAGTTGTAGCCACAGCTGCCTTGGGGCAGACTGACAGAGGCGAGGCTGCCATATTGCACCATCAGCACCTCTGGTCAACACCAGTAGGTGAAGGGTCTTGCCCAAGGACACAACGACCGAGACTGTCCGAGCCGGGGCTCGAACCGGCAACCTTCCGATTACAAGACGAACTGCCAACTCTTTGAGCCACGATCGCCCCAATTTCCCCTTAGCAGTCCTGACCATGAAGTCAGGACTGCTAAGCAGCTGGGGACACCAGGCCAGGCAGCTGCATCCGCCTGGAATGGTTTGGCTGCTGACCAGCTGCGGCTGAAATAAGGTTAAAGAGCCTCCGAGGATGGATGTGTCGGACTTTTCAATCTTGTATCCCTAACAGTCAGGCCGGCTTCTTAGCACATAAACAACACTGAAGTGTTCGTGCTATCTGTAGTTTGACTTTTAAACAACCCACTCTTCCGACTTGTGTCAAATGTGCTAAAAAGGTTTGTGCTGGTAAAGCATTTATTGTGCAGAAGAAGCAGTTTTCATCTGCACCCAGCAAACGTGTCATCAAGGATTACGCTAGAAGGATAATTATCCGTCCATCCATCCAAACTTCCTCAACACAGTATCTCTTTGATGGCAAAAGTGACATTGTGACAAAACATACGTTTGGCAATAACTATTAATGGCAATATTTCACTTTTAAAAGTTTAGTCACATGAACTGATGCAGTGATGATAGGTTATACTATGTCACTATTTGACTATGATATCTTGTAGTTTTTTTAAAGTAGCCACAGACTGTGACCATACAGTTGGTAGGATTCATAGTTAGTAACACTAACATCTGGGGACACCTATAACAGGTTCATATGATTTACCACATAAATCACATGAACCTGAACAGATCTGATTTCAACTGCAATTTGAGTGATTAGCAGAGGCATACAAGCACAAAGGGGAGTTTCATTTAACTTATTTAGTAGTGTTTTCCCCCTCTTTTATTCAGTTATAGGAGACAGTTGTTCAGTCAGACGATACACTAAATATAAAAGTGACCTCTGTGTAAGCGGTGAAAGGAGGACAGATAAAAGTGCTTTCATGACAGATGTACTTTGGCAGAACAAAGCCTGGCTCAACCTCTGTTCTCATCAGGATTGTCAAGAACAGCCATGACTCCAATTTTTCTTTTTTAAAGCAGACTCCTAACCTGGACTGACTCTTCTCTTTGTACCATACAGCTTAGAATAAGCTTAGAGTATGAAAAGCCTACTATTTAGTAAACTAATGAGGAAACTGGAAAGCTGAAGCCTTCAGTGTCATCTTCTTTAAAGTAAGCAAATGACTCAGCAATGCTCAACCAGACTTTTTACCCTTTAATATTAAGCAACTTAGAGAAGCTCCAGTAAACATGATAGTTCTGTCAAGGATTTCTGTCCGTTTTTGAGCGGTACATGCTCGGAGAACAAAGATTTGAGAAAGCCACCCACCAGCTACAGCTCAAAGCCTACGCTCTCTTTTTATGAAGGGGAAGGAAATCTTGTTACAAACAAGTGAGAAAAAGATGTTTGACACGATGATACGGGGAGATATAGAAATTACTGACTTTGGAAATAGTATGTAAAAAAACAGCTTTTGCTAAACACTTAAATATTTGAAATACATAATAAAGCAACAACTAATTGAGCGTGAAAAAGGCAGATTACGTGTCATTAAAAAAGGAGTTTAAAAAAAAGCAACTGTTTTGCATTTAAATTTTTTTTAACAAATTTAAAGCAGGAATACAGTGAATAAATTAAGAATATTTTAGCAGTCATTCCTCTAGTAATGTACACTTACAAGACACAATCCCAATCAGTGTTTGTAATTAAGGTGCAGAAAGAAGACAAATTAGTCTTCAAGGTCATAGGCCATATTTTTTTATTTAATCTTTTTTTGTTTTTTACAGCATTACGTTTTTCTGTTTATCAAATAATCTAAATGAAATTAGGAGGGATTATATATTCTCCTTGGAAGACAGACAGAAGAAGGAGAAAAGAAAATCTCTGTAAAATAAAAACAAAAATGAATACACATTACATGTAATGTCACGCATTACATTCTCGTAATGTATATTTGTGAGATACATAAATGACCCGGAAAAGAAAAAATAGATTAAACATGGAAATACAGGCAGAAAAAGGGGGGAAAGTGCATTTAAGGCAACTGCTGTTGAGTTTGCACAATATTTTCAGTCGCCCCCCTCGATAAGTTAAAGTGAATGTACTGGGCTGTAGTTACTGTCTGATGTGTAATGACATCCAATGAGAAGGTACCCTCGGCCTTACAATAGGTGATTCAGTGGCAGATACAGTAGCTCGGGTAAAAAGGGGAGCAGGCAGAGTATTAGTAGTAAATATTTTAGGGACTGGGCAGAGTCAGCTTGGCGGGAGAGAAGTGAAGCAGGTGTTGTGTTGCATCCACTTTCTCCTGTTTCCTTTTGGGGGAAGTGGACACCTAAGTGGCCAGCAGAGTTTAGCAAAACAGGGCCATTAGTATCAAAGATGTTTTGGTTAGTAGAAAAAGAAGAGACCTGCAGTTTTCTTGGGATAAAGGAAGGTCTGATGTTGTAGTGTTGTTTTATAATTTTTTTCTTTCATCCTTACAAAATTAAGAGTATGGAGTGAAATTTTGCCCAACAAACACGGACAACATGACTGTTACATGTTGTTTTGTGACCAGAGCTCATCGGAAACCAGTCTGAAATATTTACAAGTTTGGTAAAAGGTCATGTTTCTTTAAAGGGCAAATTGGGAAAGTCGCACAGGTCGACAGCAGCACCCCCTGCTGGCCAGCTGGAGCAACACGATATAGACAGTAGAACAACAAATCCAATACACGGTATGTGATAAAGGATGTGGGGGGGGGGGGAGGGAAGGGGTGGCAAATATTTATATTATTCCACATTCATATTAAAATTATTTTTTTCACTTATAATTTTCAAGGAAACAATGTTCATCTTTGCAGCCATCACCACAATAAAACAGAGCAATTTACACCCTTGTCAAGTCATTTCTAAACTGCCAAGTACATCAACTGTTCAAGCTGCATCAGAGAATAAACAAAAGTTTCCACTATTCACAGAAAAAAGGGGAGACTACATGAAATTATTCAGACACATGTACATATTAACAATGTATATATTACAATACAGAATGGGGATGTTTTCTCTTGGGCTGTCAGTGGTAGGAGCTGTAAAAAAAAAACAGAAAGGAGGGGAAAAAAAGACAACCAGGGGGTAAAGCTTTTACAGTCTGCTGGCTTTTGAGAAAAAATGAAGATGCAGTTTGACAATCCGTATGTTCTCCTGTACAGATCCAGGCTGAGTGGAGCTGAGTGGATCCAAGTGTGGCATTTCTCCCAAAATCTATTTTCACCTTCCTTCACTCGAGTCTGTTATGTGTGTCCAGTGAAGACATGTCAACCTGAGTGTCCCGTATCTCCCATTAGTGTCTGTACACACCAGCTTCTGCAGTGTAGCTGTGTCCTTTTGCAGACGTGACCTCTGGAGAGTGCAAGCAGTGTGTAAGCACCATTCTCTGAACAGCAATGTCAGGGCAGTTGGTTGAAGAAACCAGGTCCCGAAAGTTCCTTGTTATAATCTGACCTGAGACCAGCACTGTTTAAATGGCCTCTGCGTGCGTAAGGCCCTGAGTTGGCTCGCTTCAGTTCACCGGGTGGTTGCATTCAAGAACTTCTTTTCAGGTTTGAACGCCAAAAAAACAGAGGGGGAAAAAGAAGAGCGGCCTGTGGTTTGTTTTCCTTGTTGTTTATGAGCTCTCTGTCTGTTTATATTCCCACTGGGGCTAAATGTTGGTCAGTGATATATTATTACCCTGCATGGCAGAGAGAACATATCCCAGGCTTTGGTTTTTAAATTGTCAAAGCATGTGTTTGCAACTGCATATGTCTGTAAATGCATGTGTGTCTGAAAACTATTTATGTGTGCGTGTGTGTGTGTGTGTACATGTCTGAATGCACTATATCTGTTTTCCCAATTGCCTGCCATTCCTTGCAGTCTGTATTCTCAGCTGCTTGGAGAGATATTTAATGTCCTAAAAATATCATCCTGGGCAGCAGGATGAGAACCAACCTCACCCGGTTAAAAAACAATATTAATAATAATAATAATAATAAATCTGAAGTGTGATCCGACCAGCACACAATACATCCAGCTATACCGACAGCAGTCACTGATGTTATGACACGAGCAGCCACTGCTACACACACCGTTTCACACTTGTCCAGAAAATAAATAACACTGCAGTCACAAACAAGATCCCCAAGCTGACATACCACCTGAGAGAAAGAGAGAGAGAAGTCATGAAAGATTAGATTAGAACACACAAAACGTGCAGCATGTGGCACATTTTTATCATCTTTAGATATCGGTATGCTCAGTCAGTAGCAGTAGAGTAGCCCCTATGTCAAAAGATTATAATCTCTGTACTCAGCTGTCTCTCATGAGAATATTAGAATTTTACTACTATTTGTTTTTGCTTTACAGTCTACGACTAAACTCACTGGCCACTTTATTAGGTATGCGTTTCCAGAGCTGCACTGTGGTCATAAAAGGATGGATATGGTAAGCAGCGATATTTAGGGAGACTGTTGTGTTGAAACAATCCTCAGTTCGTACTACAAATCAGAAAGAGTGTCAAGAAAATATCCCCCACATCATTACACCACCAGCAGCAGCCTGTACTGTTGATATAACGCAGCATGGTATGGTTTCAAGTTGTTTACGCCAAATTTTGACCCGGACATCCAAATGTTGCAGCAGAAATCGAGTCTCGTCAGATCAGGCAATCTTCTACTGTCTACGTTTGCTGAGAACGTGCAAGATGTAGCCTCAGTTTCCTGTTCTTAGCTGACAATAGTGGCATCTAGTGTGGTCTTCTGTTGCTTCAAAGTCCCTTAAATCACCTTTTTTCAGCATCCTGATGCTTGATTTGATCGTCAGCGCGCCGTCTTGAACATGTCTACAAACCTAAATGCAATAAGTTGCTGCCATGGGATTGGAAGTAGTAACATATAAGGAGTTGTTTGTATCTAAACTATGTGTGACGTGTAAAGTACCAAAATAACACCTATATGAGACACATTTTTAGCTTCTAATGTTAGAGATTCTGCAGCTGGCTTTGGGCTGTGCAGGGCTCTCTCTTCCAGAAGATGATTGAATAAAGAATTATAAATATTTTGACCACTCCTGAGTCGGGTTTTCTCTGTTCTATCATGGGGATCAAAGAATCGGGTTTAAGATAAGTCACTTGTGTTAATGAGTGATTGAAGAGGTGTGCCTAATAAAGCGGCCGTTGAGTGTTCTTCCCAGTATTCTTTCTAGTCGAAGTGCTTTTCCTTGCTTTTACACCTCTTGTAAACCAACTGTAAAATTTCTAACCTTCCACGCACAAACAGCTGAGCAGCAGAGAACAAACCAGAGCGAAAAGGTTAGTGAACACTGGACTTGTTATCTTCAGCTAGATGGGAACATGAATTTTTTTCTCCATATATTGTTTTTACATCAGCCATAATAAATTAATTGGTAACTTTAGTTTTAGTCTATAAAAACACGAATTGCTGGGTGAAAAACAATCATCTAGAACAATTCACAAACCTCAAAGGGTTTCTGCAATGCAGGTATAAACAATGGTAATAACCAAAGAGTTGACAATGAAGAAATATATAATGGATAGAAAGGTGTCTCATGGTATCTGCTACCAAGACGGTAAAAACGGAATGTAAACATGGAGCGAAACACAGAAAACATGGAAAAAAATATCACGAAACTGTAACAAAACTGCATAGGTGGAAAGATGATGAGAGTACAAAGAAAAAGTAATGACAGATGAAGGAAGGTGGGAGAGTGTGCAGACCAGGGTCAAATCTTTTCTTGATTCTGAAAGACACAGAGCCACCCAGTGGTCAATTTGTAAAACTGTTTGAGGTTTATGGCTTTCCTCAGTAAAATATTTAACCAAGGTCAAAAAGAGGGATGGCAGTGATTTGAATTTTCTACCGAAAGCCCAACAGGACTCACCTCTGCTACAGGACACGCCAAAGACTTCAAGGCCAAAGGATAAAGGCAAGAGAAAAGAACAAGAACAGAAACAGAAACTATAGGAAGAAAGAAAGATGAAGGAGGGACAAAGGAAGAGAAGAAGAGAATTAGAGGAACACTTGAGACATGTTAGTCACAGAAGGGACAGGAACAGAGGTTCACTGTGCAGCGGGCGTGGCTCATTGTGAATTATGAAATCATATTTATGAATATCACATGATTTGAGACTGATTCCCTTTTTATCTTTTCTTCTAAACTATCAAAATTCAATTAGCATTCCTTTATGAGTGTAAAGCCAAGCTGCTGATCATGAGAAATGAGATATTTCTGCATCCAATTGTTTTCACATTAGGCCATCAAACACATCCTACCTTTTCCTCCAGGTCTTTAATCTGCCTCCTCTGGATTTCTGTCTTATCTTCAAGATCACGAATTCTCTGCAATTATTTAGAGAGGGGAAAAAAATAATAACAATACCAGTATAAAGCATGTGACCTACAAACCTACTTCCACACAAAGCTCTACTGTATCATCAGCAGCCACATTTACAGACAGCAACAGACCTGATGGGCCTGGTGCAGAAGTTCCATCCTCTCCTGGAGGATCTGGCAGTCGTACTCTCGACTCTTCCTCAGCATCTGCCTCCTCAGCTTCTCCACCGCCGTCCGCAGCTCGTCCCTCTGAAGCTCATCCAGAGGCTCGCCGTACTTTATCACCTGGTGAAAAGAAGACAGGCGTGAAGCACAAATACTGGATTGTGATTGATCTGAAAGACTCCTTACACCTCCAGTGTTACTGCTCTTTATCAGCTGAGGCTTTATCAAATCATAAGACTCCTTGAGGGCTTGTAGAAGCCTTTTCTGTTTCTTTATCTCTGTTAATAATGTCACACCAGTCATTCGTTTACCAAGAACTAGCTGTGCCAACAGCTTCGATGATCCAAATTATTTGGGAGGAATTTGGCATTTCTTATCTTAATTAGATAAACCTCACCCACTGTATCAGATGACTGTGGTGACATTTCAAAAGATGGGTGAGACTCAACAAAGCTACAACTGTTTTTGTTTTCTTTAGCCTTTTTTTGGTAAAAATGTATGGCTGTACGGCAATGCATAAATGCATGATGGCAAATCAAAGACCTTGTCTTGCTGCAGGGCGTTGTATAAGGTTGCTTCCAACTCCTGGATTTGCTGTGAAGAGAAGCAATGTAGAAAAGTGTTGTTAGTTAAGTTTCTAAGAACTTATTCACTTTTCTTCAAACAGCTACACGCCTAACAATACTGTCATGATTCTAATCATAAGATTATGTGTCCCCTTGGGAACTGAAATTTAGACCCCAAATAAAACAAGGCACTGTTTTCTCAGCCCCAGATGTACAAGAGACAAAAAACACACCCACCATGTATGCCTGATCCAGGGCCTGTTTTCTGTAGTCCAGCTCCTCTTCCAGATATCCTTTCTGTTTGCAAAACATCTCCTGTACACATGGAACATATTAGGACCAGTGTTTGGCAGAGAAAGAAGTGATAACATAAACTTAAACCACATCCTAACATGTGGTTTAACTGTTTGAAACTATAGGATATGGATCTGTGAAGAAAACCCAACATCAATGACAGATTTTTTGTTTGTTCGGTTTACTAGTCATAACTTACAGGAAGGATCTGGGTACAACGTGGAATATTCAATAAACCATCGTCATTATTTCTCTTTTTTCCTTTCCTATCTATTCTTTTTTTTTTTTTTAACTGAGCCCAGTGCCACTAAGTAACATTTAACGCCTCCCTGTTAAAGTGTCACAGTGCAAGTCTACAACTTAATGTGCAGCAGGCACATGGTGCTTCAAATAATGGTTATGGAGACTCTTTGGGTATGATGTGACTTTATCCAAGGAATGTTAATTAAATGTCTTAAAGGCAGAAGGTTAAGCAGAAGAATCAGTCATATCACAAATGATAATCATGAAACAAAGTCTGCCCCTTGTTGTGTCCCACCATCTCTATCTCCAGGTCCATCATCTTCTGGTGCAGTGCTGCCTCTGTCCCTTCAATCTGTTGAATCCACTGGAAAACAACAAGCAACAAAACATGATTTATTAAACCACAGAACAATCTGATGTTAATTTAAACACAGTGTAGCTTCCAGCCTTACCTTTTCCGCAAGTGACAAAACAGTGCTAGCCTGAATAATAGCCACTTGCTCCTCGTTCCTTAAGTTCTGCACAAAAAAGACATTTAAACCTTAATAATGTAAATGTTTTAGTGACAGAAAATGAAATGTTAAGTTCCGTATGAATTTACCCCGTTGTCTCCAAGGATATCCAGCAGTTTGATGAGATCTGGTATGCAGACATCCTGTGGAAAGAAGACAATAAAACTGATTAGGGTGTAAATACATATAAATTCCTTTAATATTTAATCTTTGCTGTTTTTAGCTACTTAACGATAAACTATGATAAAGCATCAGCCCGTCTCACTGCGCACCTTAACTCCTTCCTTCATACAGTAGATCTGCAGTGCACTGACTCCCTCAGAGAAAGGATGCATTCTCAAATGGTTGAATGGAGGAGACCTCCTCTCGCGCTCCTAAAACAGCAAAAAAACCCACTTTTTATTATGCAAAAAGTCTTCTGCAAGCCTCCTATGAATTATAACAGCATTATAACATAATCTCTATCATAGGAGCTTAAAATTAATATTTAAATCAGGAGAGAAAAAACAGGACGAGTGACAGTCTTACCCGGAGTTCTAAAGATGGATTATATCAGTCCCTATCAGTTTCTCTTTGCATGCTTGAGTTTTAGTACGCAGCACTGTCTTTGTTCAGCTACAAAGTTTCTAACTTGGTTCACAAGTTCATTGCAAATGCTGTCATCTGACTAGTGGCATGCCAATCCTGACAGCAGCGCTGGAGGTTTTTAGTTTAAACCGAGGCTGAATCACTTTGATGTTGCCAGAGGTGAAATCAGGTGAATGTGCACGGCACGTCCGAGCAAGAACTTTTCCTCTGTGTTCACTAGGTGGCAGTTAAAGCCTTGGTAAGGTGCTGTCAGTCACTGCACCAGAGCGAAGCCAGAACACAGAAACCGCTGTCAGCTGGTTATCGAGCTTGGAAATCAGAGACTCTTGGAGCCATTCCAAGACACGAGACATGCACCCTGTTAAACAACGATTCTGCTCTTCTCCACAGTCCTCGAGTTAAAGCAGGGATTGTGTTGTGTTGTTCTTTTAAAACCTCACTGTGTTCAACTCAAAGTTTACCTTGTACTTTTACAAAACGACATAATCCCCAGCCTTCAGAAAAAATTAGATAATTTCAGACACCACTTCTTTTCCCCTGTAAAGTGGCTACAGTCTCTCCTGATTTGCCATGCAATATTTCACTGTGGTTTAATTCACTTTAATACAATCTATGAAATGTAAAACCAATGTGGCTGCTTTAATCACCAGAGTGTTGTTTGTGTAATAATTACACTAAAATCACTTTTTCTCAGCTCTTGGGAAAGCAAAACGTTTTTAACTCAGTAAAAAACACACAAGTTATTTAGGCTCACCTGATTATTAGGCGCAAACATTCACAGACAACCCTTATCTTACTTGGTAGAAAACCCTTTGTGACGTACCTCTAGCTCCAGTATCCTAAACTCTAACAGTTCATTTTGATCTTTGGAGTCTTGAAGCTCCTGCTGCAGCCGATTACAGTCTGACTCCAACTTTTCCACCTGGGTGCCACAAAGGATCAGAATGAATGTGTCTGTTTTCATTTCCACTATTTCATTGTTCACTGATTATCGAAAAAAAATGTGAGTCCAACCTTTTCTAACAACTCCTGATTCCTTCTTAGGAACAGCTGCTTCTCTTCAACCCATTTGGAGTCCTGATTGGTGGAAAGGTACACATCATTTCATATATTTATTAAACAAATATGGTTATTTTTTCCAATCCCCTCATGCACACATGCAAACACCTTCATTCATACGTGTGTTTACGCATCCTACCTGTCCCTTCAGGGTTAGTTCCTTCTCCAAGTCCTCTATCTTGGCTTTATACCTGAGAACCTCTGCTTGGAGCTGTTCGTGAGCCTGAACCAGGAGCAAAACAGATATTCATTAGAATTTTTTACAAATCTTGTAAGACTTTAATTTTTGTCTGGCATTCACTTCTGACTGCACTCAGGCTCTATAATGGGATCTGTTTAAAGCCACACCTAAAACTCTCACAAATGTTGTTTTGGTTTTTTGAGGGGTTTTTGCAACATTTCAACCCAACATACAATGTACATAATGTCGCTATATGCAGACATTAAAAGAGAACGACTGAAAAGTCTAAAAGAATGTTTTGTGTCCTGGTCAAGCATGGGACATTACCCAATCAATGATGGCAGCTGAACTAATTAAAAAGTACATCTGACATCCACATGATGTGGCCACGCTCAAAATGACTCTTTCACAGCCTCATACAATAGAATAAATGTCAAAAAATGATTTTATAAATCGTGTGTTTAGATGAATACTTCAGACTAGCGGTAATAAAATTCTCAATAACTGAATTTCTCACTGCTAAGGCAGACAGACGTAACCTTGAATGAACAGTGTTGTACCTCCAACTTAAATAATCCTCGGGGGGGACATTCGAATTTTTGGGGGATTGTAACTTCACAGTTTCAGACCAGATCAGAGGTTTCCAGACTGAGCAGTAACTAATTAATTCATCTTTATACATGTACCTTAGCTTCGATTTCAGCATCCAGTAGGCCTCCTTTCTGTTCCTGCAGCAGGGCGTAAGCTCGCTGTAAGGCCTGGTATTCCCTGGTGAGCTGACGGAAACGTAGCTCTGACTCCTCGTTGGCAAGACTCTTGATTGATACACACAGGAAAAAGATCAAAGGTTATGATTCTAGGAGACAGCATCATTATACTGATACATCTGATGAGCTAACATTACCCAGCTGGTATGACTGAACAAATTTGATGTTGATAGAAGAAGTTTAAAAAGTAAAAACACAATTGAAGGCCCTGATGTGAATATAAATGAGATTACTGAGATTAATGCTAGACTATCTTTTGGATATGATAAATATAAGCTCATACATCATCCAGGTCTTCCTCAGGAGTAGCAGGAGTTCTGTCCATTCGAAATGAAGCCACTGAGGATGTCTCTGAGTCCATAGACTCTTCATCATACCCAAAGAAAGTATCAACCACGATATGCCTCTGCAGAAAATAAATACCAAAATCTTTCACGATAGAGCAATCAATACACTTTTTTTTCCTTTTGGTGCTTCACATTTAACAAAAAGCCATGTTTTGTGTTAAATACTGTCAATTTTTAGTTTTGTTTCCTGCATTATTAACAGGTCGAGTTTCTCCTTGCACTCACTCATTTGTTTAACTACAATTTACACTCTTATTGAAACAATCCGCTCAAACAGGACTGACTTCCATACTTTTTTTAATGCACACTTTCTACACACACTTTAAATTAAGCAGCCATTAACAAATTGAATTTATCCTACCTTTATTGGCCTTGAACTTCTTTTATGCCGTTTCTTTCTTAGGAGTTTTTCTCGGTCCTGTAAAATCAGACAGATGAACAACACACTTTAACACTACGACTAAAGACACAGTTACTTTCTTTGATTTTCTTTCTTTAGGTTACATGATCAAATTTATAGAAGCAGCAAAATTACAAGAGCTACCCCATAGCAAAAATGCTATAGGTGTGCAAAAGTCATGAGCTACCCCTCAATTCTTTATATTTGTTTCCAAGGAAACAAAAAGTGGTCTAGAGCAATAGTTCTCCAGGCTTTCTGAATATCTGTGAATGTTTACACACTGGTTTTTAACTTAATTTCAGTCCAGTACTAATTATTTTCAGAGAAACATTTTGTTTGTTTGTTTGTTTAAACACGTAACACTGACCTAAGAATCATCCAAGCATAAAAAAGGCACCTAACTCAATGGACAAACCAGTGATGCATTTCTTTAGTTGGATATAATAAAAAATGATGACGATAACACAGTTTGATATGTTTCAAGGTGATTCTCAAAGAGCTATTAGCAAAAAACCTAACATATCTCGCATGGTGTACCGACCGTGTATCCTTGAAAGAAATTAGGCAGCTGAACAAGTGAAGGACAAAAGAAGAAGTGGCAGGGCTAAAAAGGTTCCTGCAACAATATGTGAAAGTCATGACCTTTGAGAAACAGATCCATCAAAGACCTGACACCGGATCTGAGATCCAGCTAGTCCTTCAGTTGATCCATCAAGCCTCATCAGAGACGGTCTCAGTGGAGTAGCAGCTGTTTCCTTCTTAAGGAAGGGAAAGAGAAATTCCATCAATTTTGATTAAAAATTGATGGAATTATATAACTTGAAAAGTATCATCCATATTTTTATTTACCACACAATACCACCTGGAAAGGCTCAGACTGGCAAGAGCTTCATTTTATTTTCAGCATGATGACGATCCCAAACACACTACCAGTGCAGTAAAAGCATATTTAGATAGAAATGTTGGCTTCCCCAGAGTCCGGACCTCAACATTACTCCAGCAGTGTGGCATCATTTTAACAGGTGACGCAACAAAAGGCAGCCAAATCCATAAGAGATTTGGGGTGTCCTTCAAAAAGCCTGGAGAACTATTCCTGAAGACAAAATGATGGGTGGCTTGAGACTTTTGCAAAGTAGTGTACTACAGATGTAAACAACACATATGTGGTTTTAGAATATGTGTGATTTAAATACCATCAAAATCGATGATTGTAGACAAAAAACTAATCTGAAATTCCTGCTATGGGTCATATTTATCAAACCCAAACATATAAACTGGGATATGCTCTATACTGTGCTTGATTTTCTAGTTTTCTAGTAAGGATAGTCATGGCAATACATTTTCACAAGATTAACAAGCATTACACCAATTTTCAGCAAACTATGTCCTGTTTGGAGCAGGTCCCTAGTGTGGGTCATCTTGACCATGATGTCATAATAGCTCATTATCCTCTGAAATTACTTCCTTTTCATCTGAATCTATCTGACCTAAGCAGAAAGATTCAGTGTTGTATCAGGACTGTGTCAAAATGTCAGAGCATCACGGCAACAACATGGCTTACTTGATAAATCACTGAAACACTATAAGAAACATACTCTTGTCAGTTCATCAATCATGCTTTGCTGCTCCAAGACTTGAAGCTTGAGAAAGGCTATTTCCTGGTCATCATGGGCTTGGTCCAGGTCATTGAGAGACTTTAGCTTCTTCAGTGGAGGATGAGAGTTTATCCTCTCCTTCTGCAGATCCACAAAAAACACAGAGAAGTGTCCACTGAGATCACACTATTCAAGTGTAAGTCAGCGTGCGTATATACAGAATGAGGCTACTGATATTTTGTGCAGACCATCTCAAGGTTTTCTTTCATCAGGCTCTTCAGCTTCTCCTCCAGCTTCTGGATCGTCTGGGTCAAATCGTCATTCCTCTTACTCAGCAGCTTGTTCTTGTCCAGCAGGGGCTTACACTGCTTCTCTGACTCTCGAACACGTTTCAGCTAGTGAGGGGGAAAAAAATCATAAATTTAATTTAAATGGTGATTAAGGAAGACCCGTAAGAAAAGAGATGACAACGAAACAGCAGCTGGGAACTTTCAAGGAAAAGCAGAAACATTAAAAATGAATTAAGTTTCTTGAATTTCATCGTACCAGTTCATTCCTCTCATCCCCCAGCAGCGAGTTGCGGTCCTCCAGCTTGCGTATAGTTGCATTGAGTTCAGCCATACGCCTCTGGTTTCTCCTCATGTCCTGAAACAAACAAAATGCAATCCTTTATCATTTGACCAATCAAGTCACAAGGGAAGTGTGAAGAATACGTGATGTAATGGACTGCAAAACAGAACAGTCCATCCTGTCTTATAGTGGTTTTGTTTTGCACTGATTAAAATTAAATTATAGCTTGGAGCTGATTCATGTGCGGACCGCCCCTCTCTTATAGTCTTTTATAGTTTGGCACTTACAGAAATGCCTGAGTGTGTACATGACATGGTTTCCATTTTGACTACTAGACTTTTAAAACAATCTAAACCAAGTGCACTCAAGTGCTTCAGCAAAAGTATTGAAGTGAATTTAAGAAGTAAGAAAGTTTCTTTTAAATTAGTAGTTTAATATTATTTGTTTTAATTCCCTGAGCTGCTTCTCGATGGTTTCTCTACTTACTGGGCTGCCACAGTGCTCCGCACCATCTCCAGCTCTGCCTGGGATTTCTCTTTTTGGGCTTCCCAGGCCACACTCAGCCTCCTTAACAAGGAATAACTGTTCATCCAGGGCATCCTTCTGAAGCTGCAGCTTCTGTAAGTAACCCGATGTCGATTCCAGTTCTTTTTCCAGAGCGAAAATGGTGCGGTCCTTACCTTTGATTTCGTCCACCTGTGGTGTGGGAGAAGGAAATGGAAAAATCATTAAGTAATGCTATCCGAATTGTTCCCATCACTCTTTATGACATTATGATCAGAATTAGGGTTTTAAATGTTAGAACAGAAAGTTTAATATGATTTTTGCTTGTATTTTCTTTTAATGTATTTCTAAAAAACTAACAAACAACTGTAAAGAAACCAGACCGAGTTACACAAGTAGAGAGGAACAACAGACCCATAAATAGTTGACCCTAACCATGTTATGCTTGAACCATGAAGCAATTATGAGAAAATTTTTTGAAAGTGCAGTGTTTATTGAGCCTTCTGATTAAATTTTAAAATGACATAAATGTAATATAAAAGTGAATATATGACGTTTAATTTGTATTATGTTTGCTACATCTGGCATTGTCGTGCAACCTATCACTTAAAGGATGTGTTGCACAAATTATTTTGCAATTATTTTGTTATTTTCAGGGCTTGACCAGTATTTTTAAAGCTTGTTTTAAAGGTGTGAAAAGATTTTATGCAGATATTTTAATACCATGTTGTTGTTGCTTTTTTATTGGCTAAATAAAAACTAATTTTAGGCATTTCGACTGACCGATAAATTACAAAGACTGCCTTGATAGCAATTTGGAAGGGAATTTACAGCATTAGATGTGTCCATAATTAAACTCTCTCAGCACCAGGTTTCTACGTTATGCAGGTTACAAATGAAAATGTTTTCCCTGCTGCTCTTTTGTTCTTACATAGGTTGCATTAAACACAAATGTAGCTCATTTAAATAGATAGAAATCTACCCCATTCTTCTCTATGCAACTCGCACTAATGTGCGGACTACTGTATACTCTGTTGTAGACACAGGCTAGCTAGAGAAACTATTCAAGTAATGATTCCTGTTAAAATTCTTTGAATACTTCTCGAAGTCTCGTGAGAGGCTGAATGCATTATAGAGTTGTGTCTACTAAAGCTCAAACAATAAAAGATTTTAAAGAGTATACCAACACTGATTTTTGGTGATTTAAAAATCAGTTTTTTTTTCTTTCAAACACATAAAACATAAATAGATTTCCCTAACATTTTTTATGTGTAGTTATTTATGAGTCCTAAGGTCACAGATTCATGGACGCAGAAATTGTGACATGCTCATTATTCATATGTTGAAGATACATGTGAAACCTGTTTCTAGTTTTATGGTGTTTATTTGCAGTGACTGTTCATACCAGTCTGCGGATGTCTTTCTCACAGTCCCATTTGATCTTAGAGATCTGCTCCTGGTGCTGCTGGTGCTCCACCCGCAGGTCCCCAGCCTTCATCTTGTCAGCCTGGATCATGTTGCTGAGAGCCTCGTCAGTCTGCTTTTTAGTGGCCTTCAGCTCTGCTATCTCTTGCAGGAGTTTAACTCTCTCCTGGTCAAAGAAACGACGTGCGTCCTCCTTGGCTTCAAGAGTCAGTGCTGTGCGTACCTGAAAAAGTGAAGGCAGAAAGAAAAAGGTTGACCAGGTTGATAAGGGTTTTATTTATTTATTTATTTATTTATCTTTACATTTTTCTGAAACACAAGTAAGTGTAGGGTGGAATGAAAATCTTAAAATCTGTTTAACGGACATCTTTAAACTCACCTTCTCTCCACTGCCATCACGCATGGCATTCAGTGCTGCTTTCAGCCTCTGGTTTTCCTGGTCTTTGATTTTAGCATGGCGGGCCAGTTCTTGCTCGTGCTGCCGTGTCAGGTTTTCCCTGAGAGCCTGGAGCTCCTTTTGCTTTTCCTCATGCCACTTTGCCCGCTGCTCTGTTAGCATGGCAGTATGACGGTGCTGCTCCTGCTCTCGCACCCGCTTCACCTCTTGCACCTTGTCTCGCTCCAGTTTGCTCACCTTTAGAGGAACACGGAAGGAAGGGTTTGGTTATTTTTCATAAATACATACTATAAAAATTTCTCAAGCTGTCAGTGATGGTTCTGAACATTTTAACATTTAAACTTTATTAAGGTTTTAAAAATACTGTATTTACACCGAAAGTGGTCCAAGAGATAATAGTCCAGATATATATATATGTATATGAGATGTAGTATAGTACCTTGCATTTTTCTTGGTGCAGCTCTATCTGAATGTCAGTCAACTTGGACCTGAGATCTTCATTAGCTGCCTGTAAGGCAGAAATAAGGGCTTCGGGCTTCTCGCCCTTCGTACGCCCTTTCTTAGCCATTGATTCAAGAACTAGAGAGGCTGTTCTAATGCTTTCATTGAGACTTCATATAAGCGTTCCGAGGTGCTCCCAAGGTTTCCAGTTCCTCCTCTTCCTCATTCTCCTATTAGACACAAGGGCTTGGGGTAGAAGGAGAGACAAAAAAGAGTGACAGAGTTAGACAAAGCAAGTCCAGATTTACTTTAAACAGAGTATGAATAAGATTCTTGTACTTTGAAATAATAAATTCCTGGAAACATAGCAACAAAACTGATGTTTTGCCCCGTCAGACTTTATACAAGCAAACCAAAAGGTATGAAACCACTGTAGGAATCACCGATTAGGGGAAATACAGTGTTTTAGCAAGCTTGTCCTGCTACACTGTATAAGCCCAGATAAAAAACACTGGTCTCACCCAGGATTAGGACAACCATGCATTGTTAACACCGCAAGAGTACATGGAAGAGAGACAAGGGTGGAGGTGTTAATGCTAGGCTATAACCTAGCTAAAACCTAGCCCTAACGCTAAGCTCCTCAAACCAATTTCCACCACCAACTTGTTGGCTAACGAAGGCTATTTCATTTTTAGGTAATTATATAAAAATTATGAATGAAGTCTAATCTTATCTAATGTAATCTGAAATATGTAACTGAAAAATACAGTAACAAACTTGGGAATAGTGCATATTTGGGCTAAATGCTCATGCCAGTTAACAGGCTCAAAATGAAAACATGCACCACCTTAGTTTGGTAGAAAAGACAACATGCTCCAATTATTAAACGTCAGTATAAATGGTAAAAATATAAATACACTACAGTTTTGTTGGGCTTTTTACCGTATCTATCTATCTATCTGTATATATATGCTATCCGAATTTCCCAGAGGAACCCACCCGGGGGATTAATAAAGTTCTATCTTATCTTATCTGTTCAACATGCAGACACCACTGATAGTTTTAAAACTACCAGCGTAGTAATCAGTGGTCAACCTCTACTTTCTGAGTAACAGTTACCCAAAAAGTCACTAAATTCATTAGGACTCCCCTTGGGGAGACCAGCTTTCTTGCAGTTTGGCCACATGCAGTTGAGAAGTTGTTGAATTAAAATGGTAATCCTTCAAAGCCACACTGCTAGCATGGCATAAAAAATGGAGATAAGGGTTTTTTGAAGAATTTAGTTCTAATTTGTTAATATTCAGATCTCCCAGCAACCCATTTAAGGTTAGGGATTAGGCTAATATTAGCCTCACGTTTATGGAATTTTGCACTTGGCTTACCTAAATGGAAAAGCTCATAATTATGACAATATTAACTTGAACGGCAACATCGGTTACTTTCTGATTTATTTGTTTGAAACCTCCTGTGAGCAGTTTCCTCTGCACTTATGCAGATTTATCTCAGGAGCCCCTGCCTTTTTGCTTTCAAAACCATGTGAGACAGCTTGTCCCGTCCATTAACTGGGCCCTATGAAAGGAAAGCCGGAGTTGGTCCCTGTTTTTTTTCCTCACTTTGTGGCATAAAGCAGTTTGATGCCACTTCCTAAAAGTATTTTGCTCTCAGCCTTATAGAATCTGTTATATTCAATATTTTTTATGCCTGTAAATTCCGCATGTCCATAAAAAAGTTACATAAAACCTTTTAGAACTGTAGTTCTTTGTGACTGTTGCTCGGTCAGCTTCTTTCATGTGCGTTCGATTTCTTGTTTGACTACAACTGTTACATGCCTAATTATAGTCACGCAAGAAATTATAGTCACTCATTAACATAACAAAAAAGCAGTAAACACAATGCACACAATAGAAACATCCTCATAATTTTTTACTATCAGTATGATGACCTACACATGCATTATGTTATGGTAAATCCCTAAGGTCATACAGATCCAGTGTGTCACAAGAAGCTTTGCCTAGACAGAAAGAAGCCAATAATGACAATTTCTGTGGCAAGAGATTTTCATTTGAGAAATTTTGCGGTGTAAATAAAACCTGAACAAGCAAGTAGGAAGTGAAATTGTCCTGATCATATTGGCTGATTATCAAACCAAAGTGGTTTTGGAACAGATGGTTGTCTGGATATGCCGAGTCAGTGGTAATCCTTCCTGCCCCACAATCTGACTTCTGTTTGTGCACAGCCTGAGGTCATCTGAAAGCCAACGACCTGCTAAAAGCCACAGATAGACTTGTGCAGCAAATATAGGACATTTGGGCTAAAATAAGACTATGAGAGACTTGTCCTATCAGTTTACTGAACCCAGTCTATTTTCACACATTCACACACTAGTCCGGGTAAAATAATGCTCAGTTCATTTCAATATTATTTATATAGGACCAAATCACAACAGTCACCTCAAGAAGCTAAGGTCGCCTAAAGATGGTAATGCAGGCCTACCGCACTTACTGCATCTGCGTGTAAGATGTACAGTAAGGCTTCAATGTCTTGCTCAGTGGTAGAGAAAAATAAATGGCAAACTCATGAGCCAAAAGGACAGCTTTTAGCTCATATATATGTTGCTTTACTGATTAAAACAGACATTGTTCTTATGGCAATCAAATTAATTACACAAGAAGGTAAATATAGGCTTTACCTTGACCAATATGTCTAAAAAAAATAATAGATAAATAATAAATACTCAAATTACAATCTGGAGTTGCAGTCTAAAGATTACAGGTTTGGTGCCTTTTCTAAGGTGTTATGCATATGCTAACATGAAATATGTTAATTATGAAAAACAAAGTATGATGTATTGCGTGTGAGTGTGTGTACAACACACATGTTGTATTTAATATTAGTCGTAAAAATGTATTCTGCTGAAATTTTTAACTTTACTTTTAATACCTTATAAAGAACACAGAAATAGATAGTCCCTTGATGATTTGGATGATGAAGGTTAGCCGTTACTAGGCTCTTGTAATGGCTGTGCTGCTAAAATTCTTCTTAAATGGCATACATATACATATATATATTTCTACCAACTATTCGTGACTTTGCCTGTTCTATGCAGATTCAACCAAAGGTTTATAGATTCAACTGTTTCTAAACTCTTTGGAAACATTGTTACAAGGTCACTGTTTTAACACATTTGTAGAGACGTGCAGACTGTTTTCCTCTAATACACTACCCACAAAATGTTCATATGAAAGTGAAAAAGACATTGTCACAATGACTCACAAGGAACTGGACTACGTCCCTCATAATCTGAAGTGGAATGACATAACATTGCTTAACAGATTTGACGATGCAGATTAGAGATGAAGTAATCATCACGTTTAGTCCACACGGGCTCCTTATTTTGCAGTTAGTTTACAGTGCGGCTTTTCAGAAGTACTGCTGACGTTATTAAGCATCACTTCAGGAGGCTGTCCAAAGTAACACTAATGAAGTAGCAACAAGTAGCAACTTCAAAAATGATTTGCAATAAGAGTGCAGGACAGTTATGTCATGTACATTACCATTTTAACACCACTGTCTGTAATCTATGAACGAATTTGAAAATGTTTGCAGAGGAAACTTGAGCTTACTCGAGTTTGCATCTTCAGTAGATTTCTAAGTATGATGTGAAAGTATAACCAGATTTGCACCCTTAAACATGAAATATTTCAACAGATATTTTTCCTGCCAATTCAATTGTATATATATATATATATTTGTTTTCTTAATATTTAATTAATTAGATCGACTATTATGAAATAATTAAATATTTGGCCATATTAACAAGTCCCTATAACAATTTTTACAGAGCCACAAGTGATGTGAAAAACACTTTTTGGAGGATTTATGTAGTTTTCATGTTGTTTCGAAGGCAAACCGGGTTGTTTCTTCACCCATCGCGTGTGTTTTTGAACACAGAAAAAGCAAATGTTGACTGGAAAATATACATTTGATATAAGTTTACATTGGTGTATTGTACACAAGTTTTTATAATATGGAAAATACTAAGGCAGTTGAGGTACTCTACATTTACAGGAACACTTCCTGTTTCTTTGATATTCATAATGTTGTTATACAATGTACAACACTCTCCTTTGTGGCATGAGTGCAATACCCATATATGAAAACTCTAATAATAGTAATGCTGATAATTCATTGACAAGTCATCTCTTTTCACTTTGGTTAAACTGACTAGACCATCATCATGCAAAGCCAACCGCCTCACCATGACTACTAATACTGTATTAACCTACAAACCATCCACAGAAGCCAGATACTGTTCTGGAGGAGTAGGCTAGATATGTATTTGCGATAAGCCTAAGTCAATCTGATTGCAGTTACGTTCCCCAGCAGGGAAATGATCTGTTGGCTAGCCAAATGAACATTATTCACCCACACAGAGGCATTACAGGTACCACTGCTCAGTGCAACACAAGTACCCACTTTCTAACCTTACAGGCTTCTACTTCTAGTTTTCACTTTCAGTATCAGGCATCTTTGGTGACTCTTAACAAGATTTTTAGGGAAGGATTGTGATTCATATTTCCTTGCTTGTTAACAAATAGCAAAACAATCCTTCAGAGCTGTCATTTGCGATCTATATTTCCCTCAGGAACAGCCAAGTAATATTCTTACTCAGCGCTGTCCTCTTTTCCAATGAGAGCCAGTTTAATATTTAAACATGGGGTTTTATAGCGGGAAGCCTTGCATATAAAGTAAGGAATTTTTTGGAAGCTGCTAAATGGCAAGTAATGGACAATTTAAGCTAGTCTCTCAGATATATTTTAGTATTATGTCATGATCAAATTATAATGCTGTGATTGGGGATCATCATCATAGAAACTGTAGCTCACTAGGACACTAAACTCTAAATCTATATCTTATATTTGGACAAAGCTGACTGGTTACAAGCCATTTAGCAAATAATTCATGTTTCATTTGCATAAAAAGTTTAAATAGATTCAAATGAGGAAATAAATAAAACAATAAAGGATGCTAAGACAACACAAGACTCTTTTGTAAAGAGACAAATTTCAACCCTAATACTGCAAAAAAATGACAACTTGCTATATTTTTAAAAAGTGCAATATTCATACTCAACATACTTCACACAACACAATCATTCAAAATCTTTACAACAATATTAGCAATCAACATCACACAAGACTAAGAAACTATATAAGAGAAAATCTTAGAGTATCAGTACCTTATAC